GCCGCCCCGGGACGGAGGCGCGGCGGAAGCCCGGCGTGGAGAGCCCGCCGCGGGGACTCCAGCGTGGAGAGCCGGCGCGCCGGCGTGCTGCGCGGACAGCGAGGCCGGGAGAGTAAACCTTTCTCCGCGCGGGCGGAGGCTGCAGCTCGGAGCAGCCTCGCGGGCTGCCTCGGGTCACACAGCTGAAGTGCGAGGCTGTTTTTAAATCTCTCTGTACGAATGGGGTGTACTGGGCGCAGTGGAAAAGCTAACGTGAGAAGTATCCCCGCATGCTTCGTGCAGATAACGCTTAAAAATCAAAAAGCAGCGCGTTCAGTAATTACCACGCACAAGTGAAAATATATGTGCGCACATAGGAAATCTGAATATTAGCCGGGCGTGGTGGCGCATGCCTGTAATCCCAGCACTTGGGAGGCTGAGGCAGGAGGATCGTGGCGCGTTCAAGGCCAGCTTGAACTGCATAGTGAAACCCTGTCTCAAAAAGACAAAAACAAAAAAAAAGGGAGAGAGCGAGAGAGATTTGAACATGTAACAAGAGGATTACTGGAGACCAGAAGTTCACGGTCAGCCTGTGGACACATCCAGACCCCTTCTAAAAATAAGGCAAAAAGCTAGTGAGTGTAGTATCTCAGTGGTGGAGAGTTTGCTTAGTAGCTGAGACGTGAAACCCTGGTTTAGATCCCTAGCGCCTGAGGTGCTGATAGGAAGAATCAGGTCTTCACTTTTTTCATTGCAAGTACTAATTAACAGCTGCACAGCGAAAGTGTCTCTAAAAAGGGGGGGGGCAATAAAATAAAAGAAATAAAAAGTAAGAGTGAAAAGTGAATTTCTCTAGTAGGAACCTAAGTGATAAGGTATTTTACCTGGCTGGACTTGATGTTGTTTTTCATATTGTAATGTACAGCATAAATTTGCATATCCTCATTGGTTTAAAAAACTAAAGTAAAATAAGATACAAAAGCAAAGTAAGTTTTCTTTTTCACAGCTCTGGCAATTTTCTCAATTTACTCTGCAGCAGTTAACTACTATTAACAGTTTTCAAAATTTTCTATGTTTATACAAATGTATATACCTAGATTTTTACATGCAAATGGGATCCATGTACTCTTCTGCGACTTGCTTTTCTTTCTCATAAATATTGTAGACATCTTTCCATATCAGTGCATACAGATGACCTTATTCCTTTTTAATTTTTGGTGGGGGATGCATGGTCTTGCTATGTAGTTCAGGCTGGCCTTGAAGTCAGTATGTATTTCAGGCTGGTTACCTCTGCCTACTAAATGGAGGGATTACAGGCATGTGCCAACATGCTTGGCTACAAATTGAACATTAACCCACTATTAGAACTATTTATACACCATCCTTGACCCTAGGGAAGAAATCACAAATATATATAGAGAGATATATTTATATATCTCTCTATATATAAAATGTATTTTGGGTACCGGAAATTGAGCTCAGGACCTTGCACTTGCCAGGCAGGTTCTTGTGCCACTGAGCTATATCCCCAACCTTTTCATTTTATTTTATTTTTATTTTTGTTTTTGTCTTTTTGAGACAGGGTCTCACTATGCAGTTCAGGCTGGCCTCGAGCTCACTTTGTAGCTCAGGCTGGTCTCTAACTTGGAACAATCCTCCTGCTTCGGTCTCCAGAGTGCTGGGATTACAGGCTTGCGCCACCACACCTGGCTATTTTTTTTTTGGCGGGGGGGACAGGGTCTCACAGTGTAGTTCAGGCTGACCTTGAGTTCACTATGTAGCTGAGGCTGCTCTTGAACTCACAGTGATCCTCCTGTCTCAGCCTCCCAAGTGCTGGGATAACAGGTGTGTGCCACTACACCCAGTTTAAATTTTAAACTATGATAGGAGAATGAGGAAAGAGAAGTTGTAGAAAGGGTCTAATTGGAATTAGAAGGATGTTTATAGAATTAGGTAAAGGTAAGAGAAAAAACTGATGAGAAATAGAAGATTAGAAAAAGAGGGCTGGGGATTTAGCTCAGCAGCAAAGCGCCTGCCTGGCAAGCGCAAGGTCGTGAGTTTGGTTCCTGGTACCGGAGAAAAACCAAAAAAAAAAAAAAAAAGAAAAGAAAAAGAAATATAAAGAGTAAAAATAAAGAGAAAAGCTTAAAGAGAGAAAAATTAAAAGGGAAAAGAGGAAAGAGAAAACCAAGAGAAAGGTAACAAAAAGAGGTAAGATATAAGGAAGGACAATAGAAAATTCTCCAAGTCCCAATAACATTTGAAGAAAGAAGGAAAAGAAAGAAAAAAACAACAAGCCAGGCATAGTGGTGCATGGCTGTAATCTGAGCACTGAGGAGGCTGAGGCAGGAGGATCATTGTGAGTTCAAGGCCAGCCTGGGCTACAAAGTGAGCTCAAAGCCAGCCTGAACTGCATATCGAGACCCTGTCTCAAAAACAAAAAAAAGAAACAAGCCCCACCCCCCCAAAAAATAAAAATGAAAACAATGGACACACAAAAGACAAAAACAAGAAAACTGAAAAAACAAAAACAACCCCAAACCAACCAACCAACCAACCAACCAAACAAGAAATTTTTGTGTAATTTCAAATGTGTGGATTTTTTTTGAGTTTTGCAATTTTGGGGGCTGTATCTAAGTCAAAATGTGTCCCTGCTTACACTGGTTAGTAAAAAAGGCAGTCAGGCCAGGTGTGATGGCACATGCCTGTAATCCTAGCACTCCAGAGGCTGAGAAAGGAGGGTCACCGTGAATTCCAGATCAGCCTGGGCTACATAGTGAGATCCTGTCTCAAAACAGCAAGTCAGACCTCACATCATGCTAGATGCAGGATCCAGCAGATAGTAGGATTATGGTAAGGGTGCGAGTGTCACAACTTTAAAAACTACAGCAATTCTAGCTGAGCCTGGCCTCTGGCTGTAGGGATGAGGGCCTGTGTCTCTCAGCTTAAACCTCTCAATACTTCTTTCCACCTTGATCACAGCTGTCTGCCACATCTGGCTCTCATCCAGACATGGTGAGAATATAGCACTGGGAGTCCTGAATTGAAGCTGTCTTCTAGCTTCTCTGAGTCCCAGGTTCAAACAATCAGCTCTTCCTTGGCATGACATCCAACCAAGCACTCTCCAGAAGACATGGTGGGCATGGATTGGAGTGACTCACAAACTCCTGCATTTGAAGGACTCACATGGGAGCTCACAGCATCTGTTGGTCCGTTCTACTGCCACATTTCTCCCAGAAGCCCTCTGCAATCCACAGCTTTCACTTTGAAGATTCAGTCTCCCTTTCTCACAAGCTAGGAGCCAGGAGCCAGGGGGAAAGTGCAGATTGTCCCTTCTTTTCTCTGTGTTGTGTTCTGTCTCTTCAATTTCTCTGTAGGTTTTAATTTTCCTGTAATAGGCTTCCTGATTCCCGAGGATCTACCCCACCCTTTCCAAGTTTTTACAGTGTCTGGATTCTGAGTCTCAAATTGTTAAGTTGTTGCTAAGCATTCCATTTTTCTGGAAGTCCCTTGGATTCACCTGTATTGACCTCTTTGGCACTGATCACTGCTCTCTTGGACAGAGCAAGAACCTCCCCAGGTCTGACAGGAAGGCTGACCTTTGTGATTTCTCAAGTCCCCTTGGAGATCTGGAGGAGGATTCCTGGTTCTGCGCTTAAGTGGCTCACATCGTGCCCGAAGGGGAGGAGCATGCAGTCTGCTGCCTGCCTGCCTGCCTGACTCTGGTAAGACCTCTGGGGGCACCCCAGTTAGTTGTCTGTCAGTCCTGCTCAGCTCAAGCAGAAGAGTCTGATCAACTCTTGTTAGGACCACCCTGGAGGGAAGGGGGTTGGAATGTTTAACCTCTGAGTGTCTGCTCAATGAATGTGTGAGTGAGTGGAATGGACAACGTAAGCAATGGGCCACTCCATCTGTGCACCAAGAATGTGAAGCACTGGTTGTGGTGGCTGACTGGGTCCTCACATGTGGTTCCAAGGTGATTGACATATGGCATAATGGAGGCCTTGCACCTTCCTTAGCTAAGTTGCACCTAAATCCCCATGAGGGGCAAGACCAGGCAGGCATCTGAATAGTCTCTCTCAGAGGGGCACCCACCCTTTGTCTGTTACACCATTGTTCAGGGGTACACACACACATATAGGAAGTCAGAGATGGGAAATAATTAGTCAAAACCTACACTCCCTGATTGCAGGAGAAAGGGCTCTTCTGAAATTATGGAGTTAAAAATGAAACCAAACCACTCAAAGGAAAAAAAAGAAAAGGAAAAAAAAGAAAAGGAAAAAAGAGGCCCATTCTTCCTAAGAATTCTGCCTTGTCCCCCTTGTTGACCTCTGCAGTTGCTGCCAACACCTATAGCTTCACTCCCCACTCTCAACTCACCTGCTTTGAGCCAATTGAACTGGTTCCAGCTAGCCATTGCTTGCATTTGGCCACAGAGCCCCTCCCTCCAGAGCCTTCTGCTTCCTATCCTGGTCAGATGGCATCATCTAATGCCTACCTGA